TGAAAGCAGCGACAATACACTTAATTTTAAAGAATTCCAGCCATGTGTTGGTGATCTAAAGTAGGAACTTTTCTCTTAGGATATTGGATTAGAGACCTCAGAAAATTTTAGTGGAGGTGCTGAATTTTCCTCATGAATATGACATTTGAATAGCCCTTAATAACTCATTAAATAGATTAGTAGTGAATAGATTTTGCTTATGTGTAAAAATTGTCAGGAAAACTTGAAAGGATTGCCATTTTGGCTCATGTTGTGGCCTATGAGGAGAGTGAGGATCATAATGAGAACTGGGCGCTATTCCCTCGAGGTGCTGGCAGTGGTGTCTGCCTGGATGCCAGCCCTGCCTGCACTTTGAAAATGCCGTGGGAGCACAAGGGGAGCGATTGCTGTGTGTTTGCCTGCTGCAGCTCCAGGCCTTTGGGAATCACTCACTTTACACGTTTACACTGAGCACTCACTGTGTCCCCAGTTGGTACCAGCCCATATAGCTGTAAAGACGAACAAGCCATGGGGCTGGCTTTTGATAAACAAAGTTTAGGGGGAAACAGTTGTTTCAACAGAAAACTGGAAAGCATGTTTCCTGGCATGTGTATATGCATGCCCTGTCGTTTATTGTCCGTCCCATTTTAATGGATTCAGTCACAATTACTGATTTTCCTTTTGCTGAGGGCAGCATTATGTCTTGGCATGGCACTGTGACTGTTCCATCTTTATCTAAAATGTTGATATATTGCTAATTGTGGAGTTCCTTGCAGTAGATTTGATTTTTTAAAATTTTGCATTGCAGCACTAGCAGTTTGGCTCAGTGGATAGAGTGTTGGCCTACGGACTGAAGGATCCCAGGTTCGATTCCCAGTCAAGGGCATTTACCTTGGTTGCATGCAGGAGACAGCCAATCAATGTCTCTCTCTCAAATTGATGTTTCTCTTTCTGTGTCTCTCCCCCTCCTTTTTCTCTCTGTAAATATAAGTGGAAAAATATCCTTGAATGAGGGTTAAAAAAAATTTTTTTGCATTGCAGTATTATTTGCAATCTTGATTACTGAGCATTTTGGCACTGCTTAAATTTGCGCCCCAAACAAGTGCCTTACTCTGCTCACCTCATGTGGCCTTGCTAGTTAAATATTCGATTGGACATTGGACATTGCAGAAGATACATTGTGGACTCTGGACTCTTGTGTCTTTTCCTGAAAAGAATTGATGTTTGTCCTTGCAGGTAGTTAGCTTTACCTGACTCAACTCTGGTTCTCCTGAGGTGGTCACTAACCAAACCCCACACCTCGTTGTGGGGTGCCAGCTGTCCTCTCCCCTGGCTTCTGGTGTTAGTCTCCTACTGGTGCAGTTCGAAGTTGGCCATGACCTGGGCCGATTTTGTGTTTTGTGCTTCCCTTGTTCTGGGATTGGCCTTGCAGGGCTTCCTCCTTCCTAGCTTCGCTATTTGCTGCCATTTCTTTAGCTCTATTTTCTGTGTAGTATTTCTCTTTTCCCATGTGTCAGTTGCTCTTGAGTTTTACAGTTTGATTATTATAGTTTGCATTTTTGTAAGTTCTACTGGATTCTTTTTTGAAGTGCCTGGTCATTTCTTTTTTTTTTCTCACCCAATTCTGACTTTATTTACAACTGGTCATTTCTAATACTCAGTAGATCTTTGATCATGTTTTTAATTTTTTTAAAAAAATACATTTTATTGATTTTTTTTTTACAGAGAGGAAGGGAGAGCAATAGTTAGAAACATCGATCAGCCACCTCCTACACACCCACCACTGGGGATGTGCCCGCAGCCAAGATACATGCCCTTGACCGGAATCGAACTTGGTACCCTTCAGTCCGCAGGCCGATGCTCTATCCACTGAGCCAAACCGGTTAGGGCTTTAATTTTTAAAAATAATTATTTATACCTATTAAACATAATCGTTTTTTCTATACTGCAATTGATACCTCTAGTATGACCTTTTACTAGAAGTAAAAATAAAAAATCTGGCTCTCATTGGTTCTTTGTGCTGTTACTTATAATATCATTTTTCATTATTTTATTTTTATCTTTTAAAAATGTTTTTATTGATTTTTAGAGAAAGAGGAAGGGAGAGGAGAGAGAGAAACATTGATGTGAGAGAGAAACATCCATCAGCTGCCTCCTGCATGTTCCATACTGGGGATCGAGGCCTCAATCCGGGTACATGTCCTGATCAGGAATCTAATCAGTACCCTTTTGTTGTTGTTGTTGCATGGGATGATGCTCAACCAACTGAGCCAAACTGGCCAGGGGATGTTTTTATTTTTATTCCAAACTCACATTTATTATTATTGTTTTTTGGGGAATTATTTGAAGACCAGGTTGAGGGCCCTTTAAGAGAATGTTTGTTTACTTTGGCCAGGCAGTTGAAGGAGCTCCCATTCCTGGTCTCTTTGTGTTAAAGTTACTGGCTTGTGGATTTTCAGACCATCCAAAAAGCATGGCCATAGGTCAAGCTTGGAAGTTAACTTTTTCCTGGCTTTCTGCAGGGCCTGTGATCTGAATCTGTCTTGTGTTGGTCTGAGGCTGCCTGTCTGCATGAAGCCACTAATACTTAAGCTCTGCAATTCTGAAATATATCATCTTTAGCACTTACCTCCCTGAATTTGTGTTTCCACTTAAGTAGTTCTTGATCAGAGAGGTTTTCCCTCTTCATTTCTTGAAATCTCATCCATTCTTTTAAGGGTTTGTGAAACATTTGTGTAGCCTTTTTTATGGATTTGCAGTGTGAAGTTTTGGGGATGTCTGTATTTTGCAGTAGTGTCAGAAACCAGTCCTGTAGTTTTCCAATTTGCATTAGACTCTATATTACCAGTTGAGGTCAGTTCCCAAGACCGCTTATAAAATCCTATTTAACTCCACATACTGCTTGGTTGGTTGTTTGGAATGGGGCTATGGCGTTTTTCATCCCTCAGGCTGTGGACTAAACAGGCGTGTATGGCCTGACCTAGAGCTGCCCAGACGTCATGGATAGTGTTTACTGAATGGAAAGATAGGACTAAATTTTAAACAGTTAAATTGCACTTTCAGAGTACAGTGTATTTATGAATTGAGGGATATTTATTATATATATTATATATGTAACATATATATT